ACCCAACAGCCAACATCTTCATCCAAGGTTAAAATTATATTTCTGTCCTAATCATTGATTTAAATAGTTTGCTATATTATATTTTTACAAAAAAATGCAACGTGGCTTTATATATTTAACGTTTTTCCCAAAAATCTTACGTGTGAAATGTTGAAATAGTATATTTTTTATGTTATTTTGCGTTATGTCACGCTATTTTGCGATATATTTCTACAACGATATTTTAACAATAAAATATTAAAAAAGCTTGTATTTTTTTAGGTATTAGAATTATATTTTTAAATTACTAAATACTAAAAATTTTGATAATGATTTCAAATTAAAAGTTTTAAAATGCAAAATCCTGAGTTGAATAGTATGTCGCTCCAGGTTTAGTATATCATTATATGTTTGGTTTTGATATTTAAATTTAAGAATCAAAAGTTTATATCTAGTGGTTAGAATTAAATAAAAAAATTAATCACAATGACATCTTAAAATTAAATAATGACTAATCTTAATATATTTAAGTTGTTTTTTATATTACTTTTTAGTATATTTTTTATATTATTTAAATATTTGTTATTATTATATTTACATTAAACATTTATAAGAAATAATTCTTAGGTGTTATTTTGAGTTCATTCAAATATTATGATAATTTTTTAATCAACCATCTAACTTTATTATATGCAACTATATATAATATTTCTATAAAAATAATTTTTATACTCAAATAACTTACACAACACGTAACTTTATTTACGCTACGCGGTATAAAGACCAAAACACGACGCATTATGCTGATATATACGTTTTAAATCACCGGTCCTAATACCTATTTAATAAAGAAAAGTATATATTTTTTTATCAGTGTCTTAAAAAGTGCATAGCGTAATACGTTGCGTTTTGGTCTTTATATTGCGGAGCGTAAATAGCGTTGCATGTTGCATAAGCTATTTAAATATAAAAAATTATTTTTATAGAAATATTATATATATATATATATATATTTGCTTATAATAAAATTGGATGGTTGATCTTAAAAATTATCATAATATTTGAATGAACTGAAAATAACGTCTATAATTATTTCTTACAAATGTTAAATGTAAATATAATAATATAAATATGTATGTAATAAAGTGAATATATTAATAAGTAAAAACAAACAACAAATATATAATAAGATAAGTCATAATTTAATTTTAAGCATATACAATGTAAATAAATTTTTAATTAGTATCAACTTATTTCTAACCATTAGATCTGAACATTTTATTCTTACATTTAAATGTCAAATACCTGAAAATGTAATGATATCATAGTCCTGGAATGATATATATTCATTATTCAACTCAGGACTTTGCATTTTCAAACTTTTAATTTGAAATCATTATCAAAATTTTTAATTTTTAGTTGTCATTGAAAAATATAACTCTAATCCCTAAAAAATAAAAGTTTTTTTTAAATATTTTATTGTTTAAATGTCGTTGCAGAAATATAGCGTAAAATAGCATAATATAGCGTGAAATAACGAAAAATAGCATAAAAAGCGTACTATTTTATTATTTCGCGTATGCTTTTCGAGAAAAAACGTTAAATATATAAAGCTATGTCGCGTTTTTTGGGGAAAAAAAGCTACATATCGAGCTATTTAAAACTGTAATTTTTATTAATCATTGTACATATTTCTTTCAAAATAGTACCTTAAGTTAATAATATTCATGCAGTACCTGATTTCTTTCTATCT